ATCCTGGTAGGCTTGGAACATATCAATGTGCCAGTAAATGTTTCTTTCGTTATTATTTACTGCTAGGAGCGAGTGCCTGTGTTGAGCTGAATCAGTTTGAAGAAGCTATCACTTGGTGTGATAAGGGATTGGCAGTATCCTTTATTACCTCGTGTCATCAATAAACTGACAAAATAAAAGAACTGCTCGTAGATGTTCTCTTTTTGTTTCTGCATTGACATCATCTTTTCATAAAAAGTCATTTCATAAAAAAGCGAGCTGTTACTAGTTTTCCAGGTCATAATCATTCTGGCTTATTCTTTTGGCAAAGAGAAAGGACGCTGTTCAAAGGGAGGAAAGAGGGTTGTGAAACTGAGTGTAAAAGAGAGATGGGATCCTAAAGTAATTGTCAAAGTTTATCTCCAGAATTGAACAGTAATTGCTCCTAACCTAGAATCCAAAGGAAATTGTCCTACTATAATTAGGATTGTGGTTTGTAATCAATTTTCACAGGCAGAAAAGAGTAACATTTTTAAATGAAGCACAATTTCAAGGGCCCTCAAATGCTGGTATCTCAGCGTACAAAATAATGTCTTATCTCTTGTCAGACTAATTGATCAGAATAAGATGCCGACATGCATGACATGTTAAATATCTTAATTTCAAGAAGATTGACAAAGAGAACCAAAATTTGCTGGAAATAAGGATTAAGGCTGTGAAAGAACAAAACAAACTACAAGAATCAAGCAGAGACAAGGTCAAAGGTCATTCAGAAACTCAAACTGTAATAGACACGGTGAGTTTAATGGTCGTTGTATGAGACTATTCAAAGTGTTATGATTGATTGGGTAAAACCTATCAACCCAACGATGGTGAAATAAATCCTTCAGCATGACCCGAGGGTCACCTTTCTTCGAGGAAAACGTAGGGTTAGTTCTACCTTGTGCAGGAAACCTGCAGACTGAGTCAATCGCATAACAGCATAGGAGCAGAAGGTTATATACAGTTGTGAATTAACAGAGACAGATTCCTCTAAGATTGAAACTGTGTAACACCGTAATCACGCGGGTGAATTCCATCTTCCTGTAGATGCTGCTATCTTGCCCTGTGTTTTGTTAGACATCATAATAACCAGAAATCCTACATAAGAAACCGTACACGATCATGCTTCCTCATCGCAGACTGGCAAATTATACATGATTTATCTGACAGAAAAATGTAGAAATGTTTCACGTTACAAAGAAATAGGCATAGGCGTAGGCATAAAGGAAAAAACATTGAATTGTTTCAACCAGATTTCAACAAACTTCCTTTTCAGGCCAAGAAAGCGAGAAACAAGGAAAGTGAAGGACTTAAATACGCTCTTCTTGGCACTATGTTTTCCGCTCGAGGCGAATTCAAAAAGGCTATAGAGTACCACAAACTCTACCTTTCTATTACTAAAGAACGGGGAGACAAGGAGGCAGAACGAATAGCTTATAGCAGTCTTGGCATTGCGTTCTACAAGCTTGGTGATTTCAAAAAAGCCCTGCACTACCACAACCTACATCTTGGAATGGCCAAGGAAGCCGGAAACAAGGTTGAGGAAGGGAGCGCGTATTGCAATCTTGGTCATGCTTTCCTTGGACTTAGCGATTTCCAAAAAGCTAAAGAATACCACAACCTTGATCTTGCTATTGCTAAAGAAATAGGAAGCAAGGCTGCGGAAGCACGCGCGTATGGAAATCTTGGCAATGCATTTTATGGCTTTGGTGATTTCAGAAAAGGTATCGAATACCAGCACCTACGTCTTGCTATTGTCAAAGAACTCGGAAATAAGGCTTGGGAAGGAGATGCGTACGGGGATCTCGGTATCGGTTTTTTCAATCTCGGAGATTTTGAAAAAGTCATGGAATACTATACTCGCCATCTCAGTATTTCCAGAGAGGTGAGAGACAAGGACATGGAGGGACGTGCCTGCCACAACCTTGGCAATGCTTATTACCATCTTGGGAACCTAAGAAAATCCATTGAATACTACAGTCTGCGTCTTCGTATTGCTAAAGAACTAGGAAACAAATATGATGAAGGATCGGCATATGGCGCTCTTGGTAGTGCTTTTTACAAGCTCGGTGACTTCAAAAAAGCTATAGACAACTTTCTTCTAAATCTTAGTACTGCCGAAGAGTCAGGAAACAAAGCTGTGAATGGACTAATGCATTGCAACCTTGGCAATGCATTTTTCAGTCTCGGTGATTATAAGAAAGCCAAAGAACACCACAGGGTTGACCTTGCCATCAGCAAAGAAATGCGAGACAGGGCTGGGGAAGGACGTGCCTATGGCAACCTTGCCAATGATTTTTCCGGACTCGGTGATTTAGACATGGCCGTCAAATACCACAAGCAGCATCTTAGTGTTGCCAAAGAGGTTGGTGATAAGACCGGACAGGGACGCGCACACGACAATCTTGGTACTGTTTACCAAAGGCGCCACATGTTCAAGGAAGCCATCGAACACCACAAGCTAGCTCTTGGTCTTGCTAAAGAAGTCGGAGAGAAGGCTGCAGAAGGACGTGCCACTGGCAATCTTGGAGGAGCTTTTGAAGGGCTAGGCGAGTCAGACAAAGCCATAAGCTACTACAAGGTCTTACTTGGTATTGCTAAAGAAGTGGGAGACAAGGATATGGAAGGTCATGCTTATCAAGTACTAGGTAACAGCCATGAGTCCCTGGGTCATTTATCTGAAGCACAAGAATGTTACCAATCTAGTGTAAGATTGTACAATGATGTGAGAAGTCTTCTCCGGTCGAAAGACGAGTGGAAAATCAACTTTCGACATAAAAATCATTTTGCTTACAATGCCTTATGGCGAATTCTTTTGAAAGAGGATAAGATTGTTGAAGCTTTGTTTGCTGCTGAAGAGGGACGAGCCCAAGCTCTAACTGATCTTATGGAATCTCAGTATGGCGTTCCCGCAAGTCAGTCCGGATCACGAGGACAAGATACGACGGATTTTGAAATGCTGAAGTGCATTCCTTCAAGCACAAGTTTTCAGGCTCTTGACAAAGACACGATCACCAGTTGGGTCATCGTAGAGGGAAAACCCGAGGCTGTTGGACGAAAAGTATTCGCTCATGATGCTACTACCTTTTTTCGGGTCTTGGTACGAATTGCCTATAACAGCATTGGTGTTCGTGCTGGTGTGAGTTGCGAGGACCGATCCATGGATGCGTTAAGAGAAGATGCCTTCCCTGACGAGACATCACAACCCACGTCTACACCACAAGAGAGTAGTTTGAACACCTTGTATAACATCATAATCAGGCCCATTTCCAACCTGCTTCAAGGTAGTGAACTAATCATCGCCCCGGATGGTCCACTGTGGCTAGCTCCTTATGCCGCATTCACGGACACTGATTCCAAGTACCTCTGTGAATCGTTTCGAATCCGACTGATTCCCTCGCTGACGAGTTTGAAAATGATTGCTGATTGTCCTGAAGAATACCACTGCAGGAGTGGTGCATTACTGGTGGGAGATCCGTGGTTGGTAGAAGTTACCAACAGCAAGGGTCAGAAACTCCTAGAACAGCTCACGTTTGCCAAAATGGAAGCGGAAATGATCGGGAAGATTCTCAATGTAGTACCACTAATTGGAAAAAAGGCTACAAAAGCTGAAGTGCTACGACGACTGAGTTCGGTTGCTCTTGTACACGTTGCAGCGCATGGCCGCGAGGAAACTGGTGAAATAGCCCTAACTCCCGACCCGAAGCGAGCATCCCGAATCCCCACAGAGGAAGATTATATTTTGACAATCGCAGATGTGCTGAGTGTTCAAATGCGAGCAAGACTGGTCGTGCTTAGTTGTTGTCACAGTGGCCGAGGAGAGATCAAAGCTGAAGGCGTGGTCGGTATTGCACGTGCCTTTATGGGTGCTGGTGCTCGTTCTGTTCTGGTCTCACTCTGGGCGATCGATGACGAGGCCACGCTGGAGTTTATGAGAAGTTTCTACCGTCATCTTGTGGAAGGGAGAAGTGCAAGCGAGTCCCTGAACCTGGCCATGAAAAGCCTCAGAGAATCAGACAAGTACAGCGATGTGAAATACTGGGCGCCTTTTGTACTGATTGGTGATGACGTCACTCTAGAATTTGGTGCAAAGAAATGAAACCCACATCGTAAGTGGAAACTGTCTAATTGACCTACAAGTTGTCTGTTACTTATTTTTGTGTAGGGAAAGGACGTTTCTGTCCAGTTCATTGAGAAAAAACCGTAACTGGCGTTTTATAAACAAAGTTAAGACCCAATAATTTTTGTGCCGCCATTTTGAGCAGTTCAATGTGTACGGTGATTATATAACGTTTTGTGAAAGAGTTTTGTAGACTGCTTGTGTAATACAGCAAAGTCGCTTTAGTTTAACCACGTGATGATGTATAATTCCCCATCTATATTGGAAATTTGATTAATTCATTTGACTGCGTTTCCGTTTTGCATAAAGTATAGTAACGGGACAGAGCCAAACCATATTTAGTTACTTGAAAAAAAAATTAGTCTTAAACAGTTTCTTAAATGATAGCTCAAAATTGCTTTTGTCTAGCCTTAATTCAACGAAGGTTGTAATCGATTATAAGATAAAGGGATTGAATGTTAATTGATTTGTCTTTGTAAGGTCCAAGAAGTTAGATAGTCGTTTAGACCAAGAGCGGCCGCCCTCTTTACCTTACCTCCCACAAGCAAGTAGAAATTTATTACTTATGAAAAGGCAACGGATAAACCGATAAGCAATTTCAACCGAGCTTTCCCTTCGCCTAGCTTTCCCTATTGGTCACGTAATCTAATACCTTTTAATATGTAAATACATTTTATCCAGATAACCTCCAGTTGACATCATCGACGATACAGATTCGTGCTGTCATGGTTACTTGTTCTTGATCAATTTTTTAGATGAGATGAAATTAATTATGACAATACGGAACATGTGAGCATTACCCAACTCATTATGTGCCTTGTTGGTGTCCAATTCATCATTTAGGCAAAATTTAAATAAATGAGTTTTAGTACTGGGAGTAAGGTTATATTTTGGTCCTTTTTGATTATTAAACCCGGGGGGACTCCCATATCAAAAGAACGGGGGTGCTCGTGGGAAATTTTGAAAAGTGCCCCCTAAGAGGTGCGTGGCTTGAAATATTTTTCACTTCTAAGAAGTACCAATTCCAAAACAACACATTATCTCCTGTCTTTTTCCTTCAGCTCAATGCCCCGTAGAGATATTGAAAAAGTTCCCGCTGTGGACCTTTTGAGGCTGAAAGTCCTAAGAGGTACCAAAACCGAGGGGTTTTTTTATACTTAAAAGGTACGACGAGCACCCCCGTCCTTTTTATATGGGAGTCGGCCCCCCCACCCCCCCCACCCCCTCCTTCCCGGGTTATTAACACACGACCTCAGGCCTTTCGATTCTGTCCAAACTTACACATTTTCTAAAATTTCTTCGTCAGGTTATTCCCATGAGAGACTTAGAAAGAAAACAAGACAACATAAATAGAAAGAAAGAAATAGAAAGAAACCAAGACCAAAAATAAAAATTTGGCAGAAGTCCTCGGTGCCATGTAAGAATTTAGGTACATCGAGCGTGGGCTATTCGGAAGGGCTTCTGTTGACAAACCCAACGCAACCCTCATTTTTCCTGTTTCATCGGGGACCTTGAGCAAGCGGTACCGGCAAAGAGAAAGCTGCTAATCAAAGTTTTAATTAGCGGTTTGGAAGCTCTGTGCAAGCGTTTTATATCTTTTACATTTCTCGGTCGTCCTCTACAAAACTACAGTCGAACCTCTACTACCGGCCACCTCCCCACAACGGCCACTTCTCTACAGTGGCGATATGTGTTCGTTCCAGTCGAATGATTTGCTCTTATTTTAACCTCGCAACGCTGGCCACCACCCCACAATGACCAGTAAACTCTGTCCCTGGGGTGGCCGATGTAGAAAGGTTTGACTGTCCTGAGATTCTTCCATGCGCGCGAGATTAAGTCTTTGCGTACCTCTCAAGCTTTTCGTTCACCTCTCGCGCGCTCGTGAAGGAAACGACTGCTACGCAAGCTTAAAACCAGACTGCGAGCAGTCTCTCTCTTTTCCAGGCTCGCCTCATTCCCTCCTCGTTTCTTTCTCTAATTTGCGTAATTTTAACTTGTCCAGTCGCGTGAAGGATTTCGCGAACAAAAACCGACTTCTCTTAGGTATAAGCTTCACGTAAGCGTCAAATGAACAAATTCTTCTCTTCCACAAAAGAGAATCACGACAGCCAATGCTCAGAATTTTCCGCGTTTCAGTTTGGGATTGAACGCTGTCTCTATGTATTTATCTGATAATTCTGACAGCGTAATAGCGCTGATACCCTAGAGGGTATAAAGTTTATTGTACCACACGCCTCTGCGATAAACACTCTACAAACACTTGGCGATATTGGGACCCGTTCGAGTAGGACCTCATTTATTTATTGATCATTAACATTGCAAGAAGACAAAGACACGGAAAAAACGTGCTTGTCACATAACCTTGAATACATCATGAAGCAGTCGTACGTTACACGATGATTCTCTTTCACAGTTTTTCTTAGGAGAGAGAAGTTAAGATTTTGTTCAGGTGCTGTTAACAAGGAACTCCGCTATATTGACTGAAGGTATCAGTTTAACTTACAATAACGTTATTTATAATCATAATCTGTTTGTGTGTAGTAAACAGTAATCAATTGCTTCATTGTTATTCAGTTTTGGCATTCTAAATCCACTGAACGGAATTTCACTTGGAGAATTAGGTCACCGCAATAAGAATTTAATATGATAAATTAAACTAACCTACTATATATCGACTGGGAATTTTCTACCTTAGCTCGGCCAACGGGAAAACTACTTTAATTAATGTTGAGACTTTCAAGTGCGTTGCAATCAAGAAGACAGTTCCAAGTATATATGTGTCTTTTGTCCGCATTGGTTAAATACTACAGGTCTAATTTTGGAAAAGAAAGAACAGAGCGTCGTTTTAAGCGTACCGCAGATCATTCAGAGTACAATTAACAAAGTACACCAGAACATAAGTAGCACGCATGAAAACTCGGTAAAGCCTGGTATTTCCATTTCATTGCTTCTGTTTAAGTGAAAAAAGAACGATTGCTAAATATATCCATTTAAGCAAAACCTTGGATTGTTAACGGAAACCAAACACGCAGGCAGTTATGATATTTCATGTAGCTAGAGACAGAGGGCTGGGTTAAATCTTGTAAAGGAATTCGAAGTAAATGAAGCATTCTACGTAGAAAGTCATTGAGGTGTAAACTAATTAGTAACACAAGGAAAATATCGAAGTTGCAGAATAAATAACGCATTTTGACTTCTGCAGGAGGCAATATCAACGGGGAAATAAACGTGCGTATCAGTATCACTGGCTGAAGTGTAACATGATAGATAGCATTTCTGATGCACTTCAACTTCACAAGATTACAATGATAGATCCTGATGCACTTCAACTTAAAACATACATTAAGTGTTGACCTCAATAAGAATGCATTTGGAGATAATTTATTCAGCGCAAGGAGCTAGTGAAACATGAAATTTAGAGATAATAGAGCACTTGGATCGTATGGCGTTTTAATTTTCTACAATACTGAGCAGAGCTATCCCGTAAATCGATAATAAGACACCCAGAGATTTAAAAGATTTCCAAACTACAGGCTAACATGGCGAGCAATCCGGGCAAAGACGCAAATGAAAGTGACGTCACAACAGCTGTTGAAGAACCATTGGATTTTGGTGACGATCTTTTAAGAGGTTAGTGTCAACATTACTACAAGCTGATTGAAGAATCTCTTTAACTTCGTTGTTTGTTGTTATAATTCAGATCGCACGTTGAACCCAACTCAGCTGCCATCTTGTACAGACAGAGGTTGGGAATCTTGCTAATTAAGGCTCATCTCTATGCTTCTCTGTTAACACGATGGCAATATTTTAGCGTCTCGTTTTTAAAGATAGAAAGAAAAAGTCTTTGTTAGAGCTCAGTGACCCATCAGGCCGGCGCTTATTTCTGTTACCTTTAGCATGTAGTGAATAGCGCCTGGGAGTATTTATTCTCCCTCCCCCCCCNACACCCCCCCTGGATCGGATGCTAGTCCATCGGAAAGTTGAAACAGAGAAAAATAAGTACAAGATTTAATAGGTAGAACATAAGACATGGTTGCCATGTATTCTGTACTAACAATATTTCAATTCTTATTTTAGCAAAAGCAGAGGTTTACAGAAATCAAGGCAATGAAGAATACACGAAAAGAAATTTTAAAAATGCCGTTCACTTCTACACCGAAGGAATTAAAGTGAACTGCAAGGATAAAGAACTGAAGGCCAAGTTGCACAGTAACAGAGCCTTAGCACATTTTTATTTTGGTGAGAACTGTTACTTCACGTTTGTATCATGTTGAAATGACGTCATAGATCTTGGGTTGGATTTTAGAATATTTTTGGATTTTAGAATATTTTTGAAATGTCAGAAAGTCTCTAACTGGATTTTGGAAAAATATAAAGCGTTTAAGATTTTGGATGGAACTATTCATAAATGTACGAGACCAAACAATTGAAACGCCAAAATGTTCCCAACAAGTCAATTTTTGGGTTCAATATTCTATTTCAGTCTTCACGAAAATTAATAACCGCTCATGCTAAATTCATTGTTATTCCTGTCATTTCTTTGTATCTATGTTCTTCAACAGGAAACTATCACGAATCACTGAGTGATTCAAAACGTGCCACAGAACTACAACCAGCTTATCTCAAGGCGATTGTGAGAGGTAAGCACTGACGAACTCTATGACTGTATTACATCGAGACACTCCATGGTCTTGATAATACGGCATATCTCACGGCTGGCAGGTGTTTAATTAACACATACTAGTAGTAATCAAAGATTATGAGAGTGCGTTCGACTCGGACGCCTTGACTTTAATATTTATACCTTAAATAAATGGTTTCACTAACTAACTTTCAACCTCTGTCTATCGCTAAAATCAACGTTTTTCATCGACAACCGAGGTTTTACAGACAGATATTATCATAGTCACGCAAAGTCCATGCCAGTTTAAGAGGTCCCTGTGCTAACTATGATTTCTTGATTCGTTGCGTGACAGCGCCAGTTTCCGTACACTCAAATTTCGTGCTTCATATTCTCACATTAACTGGTAATGTTTAAGTGTAATAGTTAATTTGAAAAAGTATATTTTATATACATTATTCTAAGCTGGAAGCACAAATATAAGCAAACATTTGTAATNCACATGTTCGCCACATGTCTTATCACATGTAATCACATGTCTCAGTATTAAACAGTACCAGTTTACTGGCTGTGACATGCCCCTGCAAAACTCAAGCGGGGTGGCCATTTTGGTGTCCTTACAGGAATGTGGAGTTTTTCTGCATATAACCGTGCACAGGGCAACCAATTCTGGAAACCTACAGGCCAAAATTAGGTTTGCGTTCTTCGAACGCAATAACCGGCATTGGAATGCCAGGCTTTCATTCCACTACTTATTCTATATATCTTTTTATAATATAGATAGGACCCTGCGCGCGCTCTGACTGGTCGAAAACCCATGTTTTATCAGAGTATAAAACATAGAAAAAGCGTTTTTTGTTGTTTTTCGCTAGAATAGCCTCTATATCATAAAGCAAATGAAGAAGCCTGAGCCGTGTGTTACAATGTGATAAAACACTCCGGACATTTGAGAACCCTCGAGAAATGTAGAAAACACTTGTTTTCCACATTTCCCTCGTGTTCTCAAAAGCCCGTCGTATTTTATCACAGTGTAATACACGGCTTAGGCTTCTTTATTTGTTAAATGCTATGTACTTAATATCCGGGGGGTACTCCCATGTATGGACTATATAGGTATGTGCTGCGGGATGGGGTAGGGTTTTTGAGGTTCTCAATCCTCAAATAGGGTATCATTTTTATCCCTGTTGGCATTGTGTTCCCGGTGTGATCCTTAGATAGGGTACCTTAATTATATCAGCTAAAATTGTAGTGCGTAAATGCCCAGCTAAACGAAAAACAAATGATCTGTTAAACGAAACAATTCATATACTTCCAAAGTTACAGAAACGAAATAAAGATAAACCGCCCGCGCTATCCTTAGTTGTTGTTTTTCCCTTGAATAGGGTGTCATTTTTGGGTTTGGGACTTGAATAAGGTGTCAATTTTCATGTCCTTAATCCCCAAAAAGTGTCAGGGTTTAAGACCCTTCGCCGCACACACCAATCTGAAATTTACTAACGAAAGTATCCCCCCCCCCCCCCGCCCCGCGACTTAATAGTTCGTCTTGTGTGATCGTCTGGGTGAGAGAACTGTTGTTGGTGACTGAAGTCATTTTCAGAGTCAGGTGAATAGTGTTGGACTAACAGTAGACGGACCTCAAACAGACCGACTTAATTTGACTGACAATAGACGGATCGAAACTTACTAGAGCCGACCAATATTTTTGACTACACTGTTCTTTGCGCAAATCGCTACATCTTAACAATAAAAAGTCATTAGTTACACTATTTATTTCTCGTTATTTCTTGCCATCAGGAGCCAGCGCTTGTGTTGAGCTGAAGCAGTTTGAAGAAGCCATCACATGGTGTGATAAGGGACTAGCAGTATCCTTTGATAACAATTCTGAGTCAGGTATTTCAGGGTTTTTTTTTAAGAATCCGACATAAGCATGAAGTTTAATTTTTAAATACAGATGGTTTTGAAACATTTCAGCCAGTTTTGAGACATAAGTCCCTCTAAACTTTCTGTAGTTTTGACTAAATTAATCTGAAATTCATGCTTCAGCTGTGAGAAAAAATTTTAAACTTGAGAAAACATGAGAAATAATAACGTCTATTTCTTCTTAATCCTAGAGTAAGGTTATTCAATCAATCAATATATGAAATCTTGATTCACACTTTTTTGATTACAGAGGGGAAAAAATACAGCAGATGACGGCATTCGACCCAAGGTCCTTGCAATTGGTTCTAAATTTAAGCAGCTCCTTATGCTAAATTCAATTCAAAGTTAAACTGTTTTCGACTATTTCTTCGTTTTATTTTCATTTTTATATGTTATACCTCTTAACTCTAAGAAGCTTGACGAACATAACAAAGTCTTGTTGGAATTAAAGGCCACATCTGTTATCGGTAACATAGAGTTACAACAGAAAGACGAAAAGGAAGTCAAGGAAGAGTTGGAAACCACATCTGGGAAAGGAAAGGTGATGTTTTACCTCAGCAGTGATCTTCGATTTATTATTTGACAAATCCACCACATTATTCCTTGATCTGCACTCTCAGAGATCATAGAAGTGACATCGTAAACGTCCAAAACTCAAGTAAAACACGAGCCCCTCTGCAAAACTCCCAGGAGGGTCTAGAAGGTAGTCAATATTGTGACGCAAATTTTACTTACTTCAGCCGTTGTCGCTTTACACGCATTTTTATCCGCCATGAAACACCTGCGCGCGTGGTCACATTATCCGCGGGAGAGCAGGGTACCATGTCTAAAAATAATTTTAAAAGAGGAATAACCTTGGGAAAAAGTTCTGTATGGAAGATCAACTCGCTCTCCCTTCATCCTCTCTTGTCTTTACTTATTGTTTGGATTCTCCCGTTGCGTATGTGACTGATTAACAACGTGTAACTAGCATCTCGTAAATAACTTCAGGGTGAAGGCAACACTGAAAACGAGACTACAGTAACTGTTGATAAAGCCCTGGATTGCGATGACGACTGCTTAAGAGGTAAATAGATATATGTATTTATACCATGCCATAGAAAATACAGCCAATAAGAATATGGGAAAGCTGTTGTATATTCAACGCTATTATATCCAACCTTCTCGTCATGTGCCGCACGTATGTCACATTGATTGTGCTGGCCACTATATTTTCTATAGCATGGTATAAAATAGTTATACAGCGCTCTCTCGTGGTGTATCATGGAACATCTCACGGGACAGGGTCAGAAAACAATGGAATTTTACTAACTGGGGATTGAGGGAGTTGGGAGGGGTATAGCATGCTGAAATCACATGAGAGCATGGTGGAAAATCACTGGGAGCTTTGTCGTATGATTTCCCATGTGGTAAAACTATCGGGTTGCATTGGACATTGACCTAAGGTTATTGCACAATGGCTAATAAGGGAAAGATAACAGAACTGGTGACAACCTTAGATGACAGAAATGATGTAGACTACAGAGCTCATTAACCACAGTTTAAATGCTTAAACTTCTCACTTGTATTTTCTTGGCACACACGAGAAAACACAAGAGACTCGTGGGATATTTCATGGTATATTACTCGAAGGCGTTGCATGATTAGTTTATCAGTAGTTCATGCTTTTTCGTTTTGTTTTAATTTGTGAAGACTTCACATAGATGAGGCATCAATAATGATCCACATATTTCGCTTTAGAAAAAGCAGAAGCGTACAAGAACAAAGGAAACGATGAATACGGCAAAAAGAATTTCAGCAACGCTATTCGCCTCTACACGGAAGGAATCAAAGTGAACTGCAAGGATAAAGAACTGAACGCCAAATTGTACAGCAACAGAGCCATAGCATATTTTTACTTGGGTAGGAGCATGTAGTGTAGTGTTATTGTCTGTAATGTCTCTTGGCGATTTTAATGGTCCATGATGGATTTTGAAAAAACCTTTTTGAAGTTATATACAATTGAAAGCCTGAACTAGATTGCGCATGCGTTGTAGCCCTTTGAGGTCGTCGTAATACGTCATATGCACGATCCTATCAGGTTCCAACCTCGTTCTCAGGAACACTTCCTTGGAAACGAGGTTGACTAGTTCCGTACCAGTCAATGCGATAGCATTTCTCACTGGACTTGGGCATTCTGGTATAGGTATCCTTCGATAATAGAAGCAGCATTTATTCTGCAATAAATTGAAATAACGAATTTATTCCATAGAATGATAAATGTGTACTTTCTCTGTACGTTGTTTACACATATATCCTTTTTTGTTGGGCTTGGTCGCTGTGCGACTCCGCCCATCTGTGCGAAAAATACCCTGTCCCAACTAGAAACTATTACTGTCTGAAAATCGCCGTTAGCGTAGAAAAGTGAACAATGCATAGGACTCAATAGCGAATTTCTCGGGACCTCGACTGTGAGCAAAACAAGTGTTGCAGTGTTCCACTTCCAATTTAAATCTTTGATGGTACAGAAACGTTACAGTTTTCAAGAATCGGTTTCTTCTAATCTTATCACGGACCTTATTATTTTTTTTATGGTAATTTGATTAGTTTTATCTTTGCCAGGGAATTATTATGATTCACTGAGCGATGCGAAAGCTGCCACTGAATTACAGCCAAATTTCCTCAAGGCTTTTATAAGAGGTAAGATTACTGTTAGAAGGCGATATTTGGCCTTGCTTCCAGGGCTCTTTCTCGCCGTTGGAGCGGGTTTCAATGGACTGTCGTAAAGCCAAAACCAAAGTTATTACTCTAGCCAATCACAAAGGACGCAGACAATACAGTGAACCAATCAAAACTCGAAGCAATTACATGGAGCTGACGCGAAGCGCGGGAAAATGTGTGCGAACGCGTACGCGTCACGATTGGTTTTGGTTTGACTTCTGATTGGATGAAAAAGTGGCGCAATATTTTTAATCCAATCGTGTAGCATAGAAAGAACAAAACAAGTTAGTTTTCGACGCTCAAGTGAAAACCGCTCTAAGGGTTGAGCTATTAATTTTATGAAATTCAACTGGTGCCTGGGATTGCATGGACAAGGAGAGTTTCCTTTAAGGTTCTCCAAGAGAAGGAAGGGCTACAGAGTTCATCCCACAAAAGGCCATATGGGTTAGTGCTGTTGCTTTGTTTTGGGGAACGTGTTGCACTGTTTCTGCAGTAACCTAGAATTTTCATGCAATGAAAGAGAAAAAAAAAAAACAGTTTCACTGCAATCTCAACGTCTACCACGAGGATGAAGGTCACGAAAGACTACTCTTATTTTTAAATCTTGATTTTCCCCAACAACAACAATAACAGCAACAACAACTTAATTCTATTTTATACAAAAATTGTAGTAAAGAATTCGTCCCCAACTGCCCGATAGTCTGTGAACAGGCTCTGTAGTCGAGGATGGGGTAAATTGAAAGCGGGAAGACAATAGAAATGAGAGAAGGGGAGGGAGAGGATGCCACAACCCCTCCCCGTTCTCCCCTCGGCCACTTCACTTTTTAGCCCCTCCAGCTGCCGGAGCCTGTTCACGGGCTAGTACCCCAAAAAATTATCAGTGCGACCCTGCAAGCAACAAAGCTTATAAAATGGTCACAGTGGCGAAAAATGCCCAGGAATTTAGAAAAACGTAAACTGTTTTATGACCGTGAACGATTGGCTGTTTTAACCATGCACACATATTGTACGTTAAAGTTAGTCGTTGATCAGTGTTATCTATTTCATTAGGAGCAAGTGCTTGTGTTCAGCTGAATCAGTTTGAAGAAGCCATCGCGTGGTGTGATAAGGGACTGGCAGTATCCTTTGAAAACTTTACTTTGTACATGGTCAACACGACGCAACTTAGCTTTGTTCCGTTTTACATACAAACGGCGCTGCGTATGAAACAAGAACGTCAACATCGATCATTCAATCGCTATAATTTGAAAATATCAACGAATTTAATACTGTAACAAGTCAGTGTTCCAGAAGCCCATGTCCTCTGTGATTGGCCAGAGTGATTACTTTGGTTTTGGCCTTTTTTTACGACACTCAACTGAAAACCGCTCTAACAAGTTTTTTCCAAGTGCTCTTTGATTATACTCGAACAAATGGCAAGTCACAAGTCTTGACTTTAAGAAGATATCTAACACTAACAGACAGCTTTTGGATTTACGCGCCACATCTGTTAAAGAACAAACCAACTCACAAAATACAGATGGTGTCAAAGAACAGGAGACACCCCGACCACAAACTGGAAACGACTCGGTGAGGTTGATAAATAAAACATAAACTAAGTTACCTAGCACATAATTTTAATGTTACTTGCGCTTTTATTTTGCGAGCAATTTAAAACATGCCACATGTTTATACTATAACGGAAAGCATTATATGCAACTTCCTTATTTTTGAAAATTTCATGATGAGTCACATTTAATCAAACATAGCCATTTAATCCTGCATGACAGCTGATTTAGCCTGGCAGAAAGCGCGAACGCAACACTCGACCGCAAAGAGCGAAGGCAAGCGTGGAGCGCGCTCCAAGCTCGCCTACGGCACTTTGTCCCCTGCCCAGCTAGACGGCTTGTTATGCAGGCTATTTAACAATTATTCCACGAGCAAACGTTGGATATGAGATGGTAGGTAGCCAACGAGGTGCGTAACACCGAGCTGGCTATAATCATCTCATATCTAACAAGCACGAGTGAGATAACTGTTTGATTAAAAACACCCCCAAAATACAGGAAACTTAAATTTAATAAAATAAAAACACTCTCATTGAACTACGCGTGAGCCTACCATATATGAAAAACATGGCAGAATTGCTGTTAGTATATACCACACAAGTGAATAGTGCTTTTCGCGCGCTCTGATTGGTTAACTCGGAGGTGATTAGCAAGTACTATTCACCTCCACTTCGGTGAATAATTGTTAAGTATACTATGATTGCTAAGCCAATGAAAACTCTTGAATTGCTTTGTCCAATGATCCAGTTCTTGATAAATTCGTTTATACTTTTGAGAATGAAGCTATTAGTTACTAAGGAAACTGTTGCGTATGGAAATCTTGGAATTGTTTTTCAGAGCCTAGAAAATCCCATAAAAGCCAAAGAATACTACAGTCGACGTCTTCAAATTGCCCAAGACGAACAAGACACTGGTGGAATAGGACAAGCGTATGGCAATCTTGGCAATGTGTATGATTCTCTGGGAGATCACAAAACGGCCATAGAATACCACAAACTGTCTATTCTTTGCGCAAGAGAGGTGAGGGATAGGGCCTCCGAAGCAGGTTCCTATGGAAATATTGGTATTAGTTTTGAACGCCTCGGCGACTGTAGAAAAGCTGTGCAGTATTACAACCTACATCTTAGCATTGCTAAAGAAATAGGAGACAAGAAAGGCGAAGCGTGCGCTTATGGGAATCTCGGAAATGCTTTTCAAAGGCTTGGTGATTTAAAGAAGGCCATAGAATATCACGAGTTGTCTCTTAGTGTTTGTAAAGACATAGGAGACAAGAAGAAAGAAGAACGAGCGTACGGCAACCTCGCGATCGTTTTTACAAGTCTTGGTGATTGTAGCAAAGCCATAGACTACTGCAACCGACATCTTGCTATTGCCAAAGAGATTGGAGATAGGATTGGGGAAGGTTACACGTACGCCAATCTTGGAATGGCCTTCTTCAGTCGTGGGGATTTCCAACAGGCCGTACACTACCACACCCTATGTCTTCAAGTGGTCAAAGAAGTGGGAGACAAGACAGGAGAACGACGTGCGTATAATAATCTATGCAATGCTTACTTCCGTTTAGGTGATTTCACAAACGCCATGCATTACAATAAGCTACGCCTTGAAATGGACAGGGGCGTAGGAGGCACTTGAAGACTGGGAACCATGTCACATGATAGCCGCAAAGGAGTACGTCACGGTTCGCATAACTTGCAAAGTTTGGCCTAAATTTTACAAATTCGTCGTTTGTATTCCGTGTAAATCTTCTCCATCCTTAACCATCCTTGTTCCTTAATGGTTTTTTATTATCTCTTCGACGTTTTTTATTTTAACAAACTATTATTTTCAGGTTTCCTGTTTCTTCGTGGCCAAAATACTCGAAATGCCGTGACTGAGCTTTTTTAGTTGACAGTGTTATGGACAGTTTCAGAGAAAGAGACAGATACCCGCGTGTGGCTGTGTTGTTAAGGCTTCCAGCCAGGCTATGTCACATAATTACAGCTGTGAGACACAATGTTCTCTTCATAAGCCACTACACAGTATCTTATTTTGAACTGTAGCAATTTAACTCCAATATTAGCGGCATTTTTTTATTGCTTACTATATACCACCTCACCTCATTTTCACTAAATTTTACACTTTTTGTACTAGAATTGACCATTTAGTGGATAATTGAAAATGTGAACTGTTTTGTAAGTAAAGTTCCTTATCACAGTTAATTGACAAAAGCACTATATATTTACTTACCCTTGTTAATTAATTAGATCTAGAACTTCTTTTAAAAAAGAAAGAGCATTTTAACAAGAAAACTGAGTAAAACACATCTACTTTTAAAAGAAGCCTGGAAGCCTGCTCCATCATGCGTTTCTAGTGCTGGTGAGTTGTCAGCGGGTTCCTCCATGCGCTCCTTAGTACGTTTCATTCTGCCGTCCATGGGTTCCCTGTGCCTTGCCACTGAATTGTCGTGCGTTGATTTTCCCTCCAGGGTAGTTTGCTTCTTGTGGGTTCCTTCCTGGGTTTCCCAGTGCGTAACAATGTATATTTTCTTTCTTTCCCTACGCGTTTTTCCTCGTGTGTTTCCCTGAGCATTAAAGTGCCTATAAAGTAAAAAATAATTCCCGCTTATTTGAAAGGCTTTTCAAAGTAAAAAAGAATGGCATTTTCCTTTTTGGAATATCTTTTTTTGTGTTAGAGATATTCTCGTTTTTGTATTATGCAAATGAGGAAAGTGATGACGTCATAGGTGGTTCCTCTAAAACAGCACAACACTCAATCGAGAATAACTCTAGAAATATTAAAGTAGTGTTCTTCAAACCTCGCACCAGAAATGTGCATCACAAAAGATACAGAATGACACCTACTATGTTGTTGCCATGGCAACACTCTTGGCTCCAGTCTCTTCCTGTGAAAAACCAAATATCCCCATTTGCAACCTTTTAAAGTGGGACAGAGGGTCTTGCCCGGAACACATATGGTTCCCATATTGTCTTAACTCTCCCCATTAGATTGGTGGGAGTGGATGATTCTTGTTTCAGATAAAATCTGGGAATTTTAGTCTTAATTAAAACAGAACCAGCGGCATAGCTGTTGTCATGGCAACGGCACGACAGGTGTCATTATGTTTCTTTTGTGATGTACATTTCTGGTGCCAAGTTTAAAGAACACCGCTTTAATATTTCTAGAGTTATTCTCGATTGAGTGTTGTGCTGTTTTAGTGGAACCACCTATGACGTAATCACTTTCCTTACAAAAACGTAAATATCTCTAAAACGAAAAAGGATATTCCAAAAAGGAAAACGCCATTCTTCTTTACTTTGAAAAGCCTTTCAAATAAGCAGCAATTATTTTTGACTTCATAGGCACTTTAAAGGCTACGATTTCCATACGTTTTCGTTGAATTCGTCCCTTCCCCCTCCGCGTGGGTTACATGTGGGCCCCTCTCATTCATTTCGACCGTATAACACCGTGAGTTCCTCACCGATCGCACGAGTGTTCCTCTTCTGTTTGCGTTGTGTTCCCCTTTACGTTGCGTGTGCGTTTCTTGAGGGTTCCAGCCCATTCATTTCCTGAAGCGCTACACAGTAAGTTCTCTCTACAATCCCCCAGCGTTTCCCATAGCGTTCCCTCCTACGTTACACATGCGGTGTTTGTTCTTTCCCCCACATTGGTTGCCTATTACGTTACACCATAAACTCCCTGTGCGATCCATTTTGTGTATTTTGAGCACGAGCAAGTGGTTGGAATAGCTGGTTTACTCACGTTGCTCCAGCCCAACTGTTACCAGTCTAATAAATGAATAAAGACCGTGAATTTTCTGTTGCCATTCTAGTTCTGATTTCCGTAGACCAGGTCTGCTATCGAAACCTTTTGCAACTGTTACCTCTCCCTTCTCTATCAGGAGTCCTCAGATGGTAACGCCGAGCTGGCGATTATCATTCGATGAACATTCTCCGAATAAGCATTCTTCACACTTATTTTTATCTGCGCTAGTTTCTGAGTGAAGTGATTGTTTCCTTTTTAGATCCTTTAGTGACGACGCTAACCCTAAACCCATCCACCACACTTTTCTTCCCATCTAGTGACTGAACGAGAAAAAAAAAAAAGGCAATTATATCATTTTGAGGATCCACGACCTAAAAAAAATTGATAGTATATTTGATTCTGTAATTTTAAAATTCTCGAAAAATAGGGCGCACGAAAAAATAACAACGCCCAAAAAATTTTACGTTTCTTCTGCCGATGAAAAAGTTCTTGAAGAATTCATCTGTTAAACTTTGCAAAGAGAGTTTAAGAAATATACATTTTAAACAGTTTTACTTTCCGAATTGATCTGTCTTGGTGTTAGCGAAGACTAAAATTTTAATTCTCGCGCCTTTATAAGCCATAAGGAGATCGACCAATCAAATGTTCGTATTGAAACAACTATTCAGAAAGCGCTAACCACAAACGTTTGAGATTTAAATTGTAAATTTATGCATGTGCGAAAACTTTGTCCTGTTTCGTGCTCAGTCGGACGTTTGCCACTCACTTGGCCATTTCGAGCAGAAATTTATCTTTATTCGTCGGTCATCAAATACAGGAAGGTCACAAGTTTTAGTTAAGCCAAGGTGGTCAGCGCTTGGGGTACTTTGAAGACCGTGCCAGCAATACTAAGAACTCTATCTTCTTCTCAAGCAAACTTCGCGAACACGTGCTCCGTTGAACAAAGATCATGACAAGATGTCCACGATAAAAAGTGTGGATAGACCTTTATTTGAATCCTAGTCAAGGTAAGGACGTATACGAATATATTTGTACAGATATCGCAGCTTTTTCTCTTGGAAAATGCGCGGAAAATTTGTTCTGCAATGATTATTTTCCTCTAAAGTTTTGAACTGTACATCGTAATTTTATACTTGACACAAAAAATAAAGAATTGCCGACAAGCCAGCATTCTTGTTTAAAATATACTGCATTTCGTGGCATCATAAATTGTGTTATATTGATAACATTAGGTAAAGTTTTTAGTTTTAACTTTGCCAACATCCTTGCTAAACCCGTAATGTGAAACCGGCCGTTTGGCGGGTTCTTATTAAATTTGTGCAATTATTTCTTGTATGTGCGTCGCGGAGGTTTCACACACATGTATATTTTTTTCCGTTCCTTTACTCCAGATGGCAAAGCATTGGGAATGTATTCCAAGGAGTCATCCATAATCCAAGTTCGAATACGTCAGGTAACATAAATTTGTCTTGTCTCGTTGACAACTTTTTTTTTATTGTTTTAACGATGATCATATGGTTTTGATACAATGGGAGAAGATGCTCACTTTGCGTGTCATTTCTGTTGTTCAAGTATTTTTTCATCAGAGTCCTTGTTTAATAAAACGTTTTTGTTTGGATTGCAATGTTATCTGCTTCACAACTCAAACCTCTGCGAGCCACTGTACTGGGGATTGGTATAGGGTGGGGAATGCAGGGTGTGATGGAATGTGGAGAGAAGAAACCTTCCCCTAGAGTTTTCTTTGTTAAGATCAGTTTAAAACACTGTTAAATTCACTACTTTGGACTGTTTTCATGGTGTATCTATGATCTAATAGGAATGACCAATCACTGGTGAAATGACCATCTTTCAATACAAAACAATTTTCCCATGCAGCAATACAACTTGTTGGAGGCAGCCCTATTTTGAGTTTTAAATTTAAAGTGCAAATACTAGCCTGATTTGCGACTTCAGCTTTTGTTATTGTCAAGATAACTCTTTCTGCAAAAAGGAGGGGGGAGGGGGTGGGGTTCAGAGCTACCCTAATCTTTGAAAGTTTTAGCTGTCTTAGTTTAACTATTATTAATACGATGTTTTTATTTACTTGTAGCACCACAAACCTCCAATGCCTGAAGCAGAGTTAAGGACATAAACACTGCCACAATGTTCTGGATAACGGTAAATTGATTTTCAATTTACAGTTTACATTTATCTTAGTTTATTGCCGTTTATCGTTGTCTGAATCGTCAAAGAGCGCGGCATAAAGAGAACAACTGAATTCAACAGCCGTGGAGGATTAGCAAAAGTATCGAAGAACATTTTATGCTTATGAAAGAAGTTCATATATCATTTTAAGTCAAAACCGTTATCAACATTAACTGTGTAATATCGCTGAATATCTCATTTACACCAAAGGGATAAGGAGGAACCGAGATCGTTTAGGTTTTATTGTGGTTTTACATAAATAGATAACTCTGAGGTCTGTCCACAGGCGCTCTATTTTGTCTTGAGTTCGTCGAGACCGCAAATCCTCGCGAAATATTAACCCGGCGCGTGGGATATGAAGGAGCAAAAACGCAAGGAGCTGGAGTTGGGGCTTGTCCGCGCTCGCGCTCGCGCGTTCAAAGAAAACTAACTCGCAGCAAGAAATAAACCTCTGTGGACAGACTAATAACTCTGGGAATGCTTTGACTTTCGGCTGAAATATAGAGCTATCTTCTGCAAGAGCATTTTTCGAAAATCTACCAAACGCGGATTAAGTTCTTTGCTTTGAGATAAATTGGCATAGTTTTAAAGAAGTTCTCTCCTTGTTACAAAATCTTTTTCTTTATCCCAAATTTCTCAAAACAACAAAATCGGTTATAAATGCATGAAATTTCAGATCATTGTTCAAACAACTGGACTTCACAATATTCAAAACCAGTTATCTCTGATTAATGAAAAACTGTATCGGCGCACTTTGTTCAAAATTGTTTGCACCATTATCGTTACCATGGCAACTTCTGTAGCAAAGTGTTCTGACAAAACGAAAGTACTGACAGCCTTCACACCAAATCTTTGTTTTTAAAAGCTGCACTCTGCACCGTTGGTTAGAAAAGCAAAACATTTCTTGCTAATTGTGACTGTAAGATCCAAGTGTAACATTTTTTCTATTATTTGTTCTTGCGTAATTTGTTTTTCCTTTGCGCACGCAAATTAGTTTATACTTCTTTTCGTCCTTTTGTTTGGTCTTTTTTTTGCGTCAATTTAGGTGTTTATTCCTTTCTGTCAGTTTTCGCGCCCTCGTTAGCGTTTCTTTGCTGTTTCATCTTCATTAG